CTTTATAATTTTAATTATTTAATTGCTCCTTCCTCTCTTCCTTGGCATGTTGTGAAATTTCTGATAGTTGGATAATAAACCGTTTTATTGTAATTTGTCTTTTTAAATTATTTTGAGTTGATATTAAAATTCGGAAAAGGGGGATCCCTAAATTGGTAAAATAGACGAATTTCCTCCTACAACTTCGGTTGTTGTTCGGGATACAGTTAAGGTTTTAACAAAGTTCAAGCAAATACATAATTAGCAAAAAAAAAAGTTGAAATAAAGTGATTAAACAAAAATTATTATAAATATTGTAAATAACAGTTGACAAATACATATATAGAGATATTTTTTGGAAAGAGGAAATGGTCTTCACAATTTGAAATCGATCGAACACACAGTAAAATGCCCATATACGTGCACGCCATCTATCGTAGGATAAATATACTATGCCAGAAACCTTCGCGGGAGTGTATTAAACAACTTCCCAAAGTTTCACGGCAATCGGATAAACAGTGTGGTAATACATGAAAGACACACAGACACATTCATTTTTATATATATAGATAAAAAAATAATTTCAGGCTTTAATTAAAAAAATAATTAAAATACCTACCATTAATTTATCAAGAACGGTATTTCTAGTTAAAGCAATTAATTCTGGATCTTCTACTGCAAAGGCAGGAAAACTTATAATTGAAAGAAGTGCAGCATCGACTTCCTTTAATATATAACATAATTAGAAACAAAAAACTTTCGGCAAGATAAATTTTGTTAAATTTACCTTTGAATTTGATTCTCTTGGTAACATTGATTGTAACACCGCCTAAAATATTATGCTATTGTAAATACGTCTATACATTTATTTTAAAAATTTCATTCTTATTATATAATATTAAATTACATGACACTTTTGTGATTCATCAGCTAATACATGAATTACAGATGAAGGTCCTCCTCGTCCACCAAATAAATCTAGCTCATCCATTGCTTCTAAAGCTGCCTAAGGATATTAACAATGTTTTTTAATAATAGTAATAAAACTATTTAATATTAATTATTGAGATTTTAAAAAAATATAAATTTACTTTTGCCATCCCAATAGAACTGGCATTCAATTCTGGAAGACCATGATTAGTTTTGTCACCTCGCTCCCATATTCCGTAATCCTGTAAAATAATTATTTTTGAAACTAAAATACTAAAGGACATACCATAATATTTTTAAAATATATATGTTTTTTAATTTTTATTTTACTGAGAAAAGTTTTTTCACCACTTCAATAATCAAGTATTTTATTTCAGAGTATAACATATGAAGACAGTTCATGTTAATATTGTAAAGAGGATCTTAAATCTTAAAATTTTTGAATTATTAGAATAACTTCAATAATTTATTCTAAATCTACTGAAAAATAATCAAATTTTTGAACATTTTTATCTAAATATATAAAATTACTTGTTCTGACTGACTTAGTCACTGATTCATCATCGCCCAGAGCAAACCGCTGAACCTAGAGGTGAAATTTGGTACACAGTTAGGGTACGTCATGGAAACACACACTAAGAAGAGATTTTTCGAAATTCCCAAGCGGGGGGGAAGAGGGAGAGCATTAAGGCTTAACCTGAAGAACAACTTCTACTGTACTATTTTAAATACAATTTTTTGTTTTTAACTGCATTTTAGTAGGGTATGCCATGGGAATGCACAGTAAGAACGGATTTTTCGAAATTCCCCAGCGAGGGGAGAGGGGAGAGCATTAAGGCTTAACCTGAAGAACGACTTTTGAAATTGATTCCATACTTTCCTTTAAATTGATAACATTTCAGACATTGTTATAAATATTTTCATATATTTCAATTTCTTAACCAAATGTTCAAACCGTTTTAAATTCAAATTTGTTATTGCATATTGGTTCAATTATAGAATGATTGTAAATGTTCCAAAAAATTGATCAAATTGAAAACAGTTCGTTTGATTCTCAGCAGTAAATGTTATATAACAATTACTATGGTTGTTGAAATACTGAATATAAATGGGGTTTGCTTGCAAAATCTC